GCAGCCGTGCAAACTCCTTCCACAGGTGGCTCAGGACACCGACTGTGACAAAGCAGCAGTTTGGCAGACCTTAACACTACTTTACTGCCTTTCTTTGCTAGACAAGAAGGGACTCGGCGGCCACAGCCTAAAGAGACGATGCAGAAACTTTGTGTGTCAGTGGAAACCCCTTGTCCTGTTTCTCGCTTGCCCCGTTGCAGGCTGTGGCTTTGGGAGGGCTCGGGCGTGTTTGCGGCTGGCAAAGCGGGACGTGGGTTTTTGTGTAGCTGTTTCCCTGCTTTGTTCCAGGCTGGTGCTCGCAGTAGCTGCAGCCACTTTGCAGTCATTAGCCCTCCTGGGAGGCAAGGTGCCCATAGGGAAGTTGCTTGTTTTTTCTTTTCAGCACAAAGAAAATCAGACATTGTAGTGAGTCATCTGGAGAAGAAGAAATAAACCAAGGAGAAGGGTCTGTGCTTGTGTTTGAGATTAACTGGATTCCTGAAAATATGGATGGGGGTCACTGCCTCTTCTGAGCAAGCCCGAACTCGTGGTGTGAAATACGGCCGCCTGTTGCACGGTGTTCTGCAAAGCAGGAACCAAATCTATCTCATTGCTTGTTGGCTTGGATTCAGCTGAGCTTTAGCAGGATAGATGAGGTAATTTTTCTCTTTTTTTTTGTAAGAACCCATTAGATTTGGCAGGATAAAGCAATACCTCCTGTAAACAAGATCTGGAGGTAAAAAGGCCATGGTTGTGTTTTGGTGTTAATTCAAGCCTGCACTTGGCTGTGTGGCTTGATTTAGAGCTTGAGGGTAGATGGTTGAGAGCTCTGCAAAAGCTCTCATGGCTGGAGGAGAAACTAACAGAAGGAGCGAGGTTTGGGAAGAGCTTTTGGGTGCAGCTCAAGAGGGAGAAGGTGTCGCTGGCCTCATGGGCAAGGTCTTGGGTGTTGAGTGACATTCTAGGGGGGCACAGCCACCTCGAGCAGGTCCACACAATGCCCAGGGTGCAACAACCACCTCGAGCAGGTCCACACAGTGCCCAGGATGGGACAACCACCTCGAGCAGGTCCATGCAGTGCCCAGGGTGGCACAGCCACCTCGGGGAGGACCACGCAGTGCCCAGGATGGAACAACCACCTCGAGCAGCTCCACGCAGTGCCCTCGGGTGTATCACAACACTGTCTCCCTTCCCGTTGCTCGCTGTCGGAACAGGCAGGAACAGTCTTGCTCAGCCAAGCTCCAGCTTGTCTTACATGCATATCATCTCAGGAAAGAATTGGCAACTCGGAAAACAAACAGTTTCAACATCTGCTTGGATTGAATTCCATTTTCTAATGTTTTGTAGGCTGAGCGAACTGCTTCCTTGCTCAGCGGAGGAGTTAATAATTTATAGGCAAACTGTCAAAATTCTCGATTCTGCAGAACTCGAGCGCGTGTGGTCTGAGCCGTTCTGAGGGCGTGGGCGTCTCCCAGCTCCTCCTTGCCTGGCCATAGGGTGCTCAGACGAGGGAAGTCATCACTTTGTCCTGCAGGAACCAACCACACGGGACCTGTGTGTCCTGCTGGTAGCCCCGCAGGTAAGACGGGAGCTGCAGGCACCGGTGCCTTTGGTGCTGCTCTGCTCTTGCAGTGCTAGCAGGAGAAAAGTAACGGAGCAGCAAGAAGAGCTGGGCTTAGGACGGGTAGGGGGGAAAAAGGGAGAATGCTGCAGCAGGAAGGTGTGTTTAACCCTGCCTTCCTTCCTCTTTTAGTTACTAATTTCTCATTAGACTCATCGTTGGGCAAAGCTTCAAAACAGACTGTTTTGTTTCCAGAAGCAAGGTAGGTATGTAACAGTAAGAGGATTTAGGCTCATAAAATGGGATTCTGGATAACTGAAAGCCAGAGATGAGGTTTTTTTATTGGTCTCTAGAGGAACCAGGTTAGTTCAAATCGTATTTATATCACTTTCTGAAATGGAATTTAATCTCCTAAATGTTGTCTTTGCTTTATAGCTTGACTCTGGTTGGTATTTGCAGAGCTACTGTACAGGTGTTACATAGTTGTGGCTCTAGCTGGGTATTTTTCACACAGACACATGCACAGCCTGCACATAGTGTTTTGCTGTATTGACTCCAGCTGGATTTCATGTGACTGTCAATTAGTTTCCAAGAAATTTGTTATTAAAACGTTTTATCCATGAGTTAAATTTCAGGGGACGCCTTCCAGATGGCATGGTGAAATTAATGTCTGGTCAGCTGGGAAGAACTGTGGGCAAGCTGTATAATGATTCCAAGTAAAACCTGTCCAACTGCAACATACCTTGCATCCTGAGTGGAACTTTCATATTATTTTTTATATCTTATTTTCAAATTCTATTAAAAGCTACAGTCTCAAAAATGGGACTGATTAAGTACTTTTCATGAATTTTGCTCAAAATGTGCAGTCCTGCTTATGCTGTCTTTTCATTTCAGTTTGTGTGTGGGCTTTGAGGCAATCTTCCTTACCCAAATCCAGTCCTACCTCAGCAGATCAGATCCTCTGGGGCACCTATTGGTGCTGTCACAGTTTATGCTGCAACAGCATCTGCAGGGTCCACCCATTCAGAACTAGAGGACGGAGACAAATGAAACCTGTTTGTGTGAGCTGTGTTTATCCTAAATATCCACTCAATGCTCTATCTCCTGATGTTTTTTACAGATATTTTGCCCAGGAGAAAAATGTGATAAGTTCTGCGAGACCTTCAGGCATGGGAGCTGGAATAAAGATGTCAGCGTTGCACAAGTATCGTGCCACCCTCTTTAGACTGTTACTTGCTGCTGGTCTTGTTGTTGCTGTCCAGAGTAAGTAAAGGTGAAAATAGAGCAATCCACCAGCAAAAAAAATAAGCTAAAAGACTTTGAACGCAACCTTTTTCCTGAAGTTCATATAATTCCATTTTCACAATCAGCATTTACCTTTTCCCTTTGTGTTTCTAGACTGTTCTAAACTTCTGTGATCAGAATCTCTCCTCCTTGTATTCAGCAGCTCTGGAGTTATAGCCAGTGAAGTGTCCTTTCCTGGACCTTCATAGGAAATCAGGCCTAAGCTATAAATGCTTTTCCTTGGGGAAAAAAAATATATATTTCTCTTCCTAGGTGACTGCGAGCCGCCGCCACGTTTCCCATCTGCAGAACTGAAAGAAGCTTTTCGTCACATTGCCAATTTTTCTGATGGTTTAGAGGTGGAATATACCTGTCGTCCAGGTTACATGAAAAATCTCCGTGTCAAAAGTACTTTGGTTTGTAAAAATAATAAGTGGAGAGGACCAGACGACATTTGTTTACGTGAGTATGTTTGGGATTTACTTCTGATTTTATTCTTTCTTCAGTGATCCTGTCAGCTCATTTGTTTGAGCAGTATTAAAGTGATCATATGGGATGGTGGAAGACCAGTGGTGTAACATGAAACACCAGTTATACTCCACCAAGTACCCAAAATGATGGCAACAGCTGAAACCTGCTTTGATGCTGTTTGTCTTTGATAACATTCTATATTGAAAAGCATTTTCTTCTGCTCTGACACTCTGTAAAATGCTTCTAGATCTTTCAGTAACAGTCCTCTGTTCCTCAACAGAGGAGGAATACTCTCTTTTTCTTCTACATTTTGTTTTACTGGTTGTTTGAGAAAATAAAATAAGCACTAATGCCAGTCCTGTTGTCCTCCAGCAAGGTTATGCAGATATCCTCGAGAGCCGGCCAACGGCAGAATCCTGCTAGCAGAAAAATTCAGTCTGGGTTCAACAGCAACCTTCATCTGTGATCCTGGGTAAGCAATGAGCACTCAGAGGCACAACTCTGGGGGACTTGAAGAAAATGTCTAGTCTAGTTTTCTGTAAAAGCAGAGACTGCAGACTCTGGAGGCTCTCCTCAAGCCCGTATGCCTGACTTGCAGCATATTGTCTCTCAGTCTTCCAGTTTGTATTCAAAGGCTTGAAAGGACAGAGTTTTGCACACTGCATAGGCCAGTTATGGATCTGTGTGCTCACTAATACCGCAAGCCAGAAACAAGATAAAATCTGCCCTGGTGGATTTTCTTAAGTCTTCTCCCTTTAGATTAGAGAGACATGCAACAAACAAACAAAAACACCCTATAATTCTTCAGATACTTTGGATCTGTTGTCCAGTAAGACAGGGACATCTGTAATAGTACCTGTTTTTACAAGAAGTATGTGAGATAAAAGAATGATATCTCCCAGCATAAATGTTATGTGTCTCTAGCTATATTTTAGAATTAAAATGCTATGTGTCACAGATAAAAATTTTAGATAAAATCAATTTTCCTTGAATCCAAACACTTGTTCATTAAAAACATACAGTTTCGTCAAAAAATCAGTGCATTACTGAAAAACAACATTCATGAAAGCTCCAATTATGCTAATATAGCAAAGATGAAGCCATACTGATGGCAGTGATATAGACAGTTTAGAACTGAGTTTGACATGTAGCTTTTCCCCTCCTATTTCACATAGGCACCGACTGGTTGGAAATTCTGAAATTCAGTGTGTGATTAAAAATGGGCTTGTTACATGGGACAGGGAGATTCCGTTCTGTGAACGTAAGTAGAGTTCCTTAACTGGAGTATTATGCAAATGTTACTGAGGCTGGATAGAGAAATAACCACGTTATGCTGCTGACAGTCTTGGTAGTTCACTGCATGTGTGTTTGGGGGGTATGTATGTGTATATAAACCTTTTCCACATCCTTCTGTAGCAAATTTTACTCTCGGGAGTAGAACAGCTGCCTGTAAAATAGACATATCCCCAAACTGCAGCACTGCACGGTCATCTCTGCTGCGTGTGCAACTCTCCTGAGCCTTTAATTTCATGTGGCCAATGATTCTGGCACCTGATGTTTCAACTTCCTTTTCTTATCAGGTCTGTATGTGATTTAATTCCTTCTCTTCCTCCCTTGTTCTTCCCTTCCCTTTCCCATTCCTCTCTTCCTTAGCAATCCCATGCCCGCCCCCTCCGGATATCGCTAACGGAGAGTACAGTGGAACCATCAAAGGGGAGTTCAGTTATGGCACGACTGTCACTTACCGCTGTGACCCCGTCAGGAGAGGAGAGACCCCGTTCTCGCTCATCGGAGATGCCTCCATTCACTGCACGACCACAGACGACCTGAACGGGGTCTGGAGCAAACCTGCCCCCGAGTGCAAAGGTGACCACAGGACAGCACTCACACAGCGTCACCGAACGGCTGGGTTGGAAGGGACCTCTGGAGACCATCCAGTGCAGCCCCTGCTCCAGCAGGGACACCCAGGGACACCAGGGTGGCACCCAGGGGTTTGAAGATCTCCAGAGCAGGAGCCTCCACAGCCTCTCTGGGCAGCCCAGGCCAGGGCTCTGCACCCGCACAGGAAATAAGTTCTTCCTCGTATGGAGATGAAAATTCCTATGTTTCAACTCGTACCCATTGCCCCTTGTCCTGTCACTGGTCACCGCCAGTGGCAGTGCCACCAGTGGCAGCAGTCATACCTGCTGCCTTTGCTTTGTTCTTTTTATGCTTCTTTTTATGCCTTCATAAAATGCAAAATAAAAACTGCACTACAGGGTAAGGAACAGTTCAAAAATATCATGTTGGTTTGGTGCCTTGTGCTGTGCCTTTTCCCCCTTTTTGGTGATCATAGGTTACAGGATTATCTTTAATATTTTAATCTCTCATCTTACGTATAACTGCTGATTTCCTAATTCATGTTTTTCCCTGATCCAGTGGTTCGCTGTGAGCGACCAAATATTGACAATGGAATTGTGTTGAGCAGTTACAGACCGGAGTACACGTACAAAGACACCGTCATGTTTGACTGTAACCACCGCTACACCATGAATGGCAGCGACACATCAACGTGCACAGAAAACAGCGTTTGGGAGCCCCCCCTGCCAGTTTGTCAGCGAAGTAAGTGCTGTGGAATGAGTCCTGCTCTATGTTTTCCAGAATCTTTGCTTCCATTAAATTCCCACTGATTGGAGGAAGTGTTAGTTTAGGAAAGTAATGGCTCCAAAATCTCATATAGTGGATTTTTTGGACACTCTCCATTGCACAAAAGTGATTTTCGATCTCGTGTGTTCTGGCAGCACTCTGGAGGAAAAAAATTTAGGAATTCAGGCCATATAGACTAAAGCCTTGTCCCAGTCAAGCTGGTGAGGGTTTCTCGGTGGAATTCAAAGAGATAGAATTAATCTTTCTATATTTAATATTTTAAAATATGAAATGACCCATGAGGACAGAGCTTCAAATAGTATCTACTACAAGTTATTACTTTAACACAGTAGTGTAAATTATTTAGTCTAAAATTTTCTTAGGTCCTTAATTTTCTTTTTATTATTCCTAGGTAGCTGTGATGACCCTCCTGATATATATAATGCTGTTAAAAGACACGTTGTTGGCAATTTATTTCCTGTTAAGACTGTAGTTACATATGAGTGTAATGTGGGCCATGAGTACAGCCCTGGAGAAAACACATGGAATATCGAATGTCTGCCGGATTTGACATGGACTGAAGTTTCACATTCTTGTGAAAGTAAGTTTCTAATCCTTTGGCTTAACTATCCTTGCAATTTGGCAAAACTTCTCTTGCAGGTGCCAGGAATAACAAGGCAGCTTGACTTATGGTCTACCTGGATCCCTGCATCTCCACATCAGTAAATTCTGGAATGTCTGGAAATGGCCTCTGTCTTAGGAATCTTCATTCTTTCATGTTAAATGAATCTGCTGTCGCCCAGATATCTTTGCCATGATTTCAAACTGCAGCTAAAGTTTGTTATTTCTAAGGAGTTCGTTGTCCAGCGCTGGATGTCAAATATGGAAAGCATATGCATGTATGGGGATTTAAAGAAAATAACTATGTGTATGGAGACCGCGTTCGAATTACATGTAATGATGGCTACACTTTCAAAGATCATGTCAGTGAGGTTGTGCTCGAGTGCACGACGAGTGGTGCGTGGGATCCTCAAGTACCCGAGTGCGTGCCAGGTGGGTAGGGTTGAAGGACATTGACTTAGTGACTGCTTGTTTTAGAATGCAAAAGTTTGGTCCACTCTGTACAGTGTAATTGCCTGTTCCTTTTAGCAGAAAAAATGCATGCAAAGCTGATTCAGTGTTTGGGGAGAGGGAGGAGTTTTGGTAGCTTGCAGGGGCTTGGAAGATGTCTAAAAACACTGAGAGTTTACTTACCTTGGATACTACCTTGTCCCGTCCCTAACGTTGTCTTGTAACCAATAATCTCCTGAATCCAGTTTGGTGAGAAAGCATTGGCCAGGGTCATCTGGGAAAATACGAGGGGGTGACATGGAGAGCCCTTAGCAACGTGCAGCGTGAGCAGGGTGAGGTGGGCTGCCCGCAGAGTGTTCCCTACACTTGCAGCAACAGCCTTAGGAAGACTTTAGTGAAGGAGGAGAAAGTCCTTCAAAGTTACAAAGAAATGTTGAGACCTGGAATTGCATTTAGACGATATCCACCTTTTTGTCTAGGTTCGGATGTTCTTGGTAACCTTGCCTTCTATATGAGAAGTAACTCCAGGGAATTGTTTGAAAATTCATGCAATCCTTTTCTTGTGTTTGTAGAACTTCATTGTCCAGAACCAGTCATCGATCATGGAAGAGCAGATTATAAGAGCAGGGAGGTCTACACCCCTCGGACCCGAGTGACACTAACGTGCGATTCCGGCTACGTCCTCCTAGGCCAGGCCTCCATCGAGTGCCAGGCTGACAGGAGCTGGGCTCCTCAGCTGCCCTTTTGTGAGAAAGGTACGTGGGGAGCAGCAGCATCGTGGCTATTTAAAAGCAGTAGCAAGTAGGCAACCTACCTCCAGCATCTACTTCTGGGTAAGGGGAAGGGCACTGCCTTATGGGCTTAAACTTATTATTTATGTGGCTTCTCCTGGAGCTGTAATCCAGGTCAGAGCTGTGCAAGAGGTGAAAGCATTAAGCTGATGTAAGAGGCTACGTTGGGTCATGATTCTGCAAGTGGCTGGGCAGCAAATGAATGTGAATTTGCCTAAGTTCAAACACAATGTGAATTGTGTGAACTGTACTTCACGGATATCCAAGAACCAACTCTGGTTCTCACCTGAATATGATAATCATGGTTTTCTTCCCCCCTCCCTTTTTGTCCCCTTTTCTTCCCTTCCCCTCCTTCTCTATTTTTTTTTCTTAGTCTGTGGCCCACCTCCAAAAATCAAGCATGGGCAGCACTCGGGCTCGAGAAAAGAGCAATTCCTCTACGGCTCCAAAGTCACGTACAGCTGCGCAGAGGGGCTGTCCCTCGTTGGGGAGTCCTCCCTGTACTGCACGTCCGTGGATGGGGAGAACCTGACGTGGAGCGGAGCTGCCCCGGAGTGCAGAGGTGACTCCTTCCCTCGTACGAGGCCGGAGGCGAGCTCAGGCCTAGGGGCAAGGCTCGGTCTAAGCAGAGCAGGGTGTTAGTGAGCAGGGCTACCTGGAAGCCTTGCTGTCTCCTGCAGTCCTGACAGCTCTAGATGGAAGGATGAGCCATATGGAAACTGGACACTCTGGTTCTTATAGATGGAAAGTGGTTGGAAAGTGGCTTGGAGGGAAGTTACCAAGGTGGGAAGTTACCCCCTAGTCCATGGTCACCACGGTCCCTGGAGCCAGGCTGGCAGCCAAAGTGAACCCCTGTCCTCTCCTCTGCTCTCCCCGCAGTGGTTCGCTGCCCAAAGCCGGTGATCGCCCACGGAGGGATGTCCCGGCCACAGCACACGTTCCCCTACGGGGAGGCCGTGGGGTTTTCCTGCGACGAAGGCTACGAGCTGCACGGCAGCAACAGGAGCGAGTGCGGGGCTGACAGCGCCTGGCACCCGCCCCTGCCCACCTGTGAGCCAGGTGGGTCCAAACCTGGGGCTGATGCCCCGCGTGGCTAGAGCAGGTCAGGGGGTGGCTGCTTTTTTACCTTGCTAACAGTAAGGGGAATTCACAGCGCTTTCTCCTCCTCCTCCTCTTCTCATTATATTATTTTCTCATATGCATTTTCCTCTCAGTTCAGTGCCATGTGCCAGTGGGAGATGACCTAGAGATTTACACGAAGGGGACCCGATTTGAAGTGAATGAAACTCTATCTTTCTTCTGCAAAAATGCTGACAGTACAACATTATTTTCAAGAACTACCTGCTCCGCTGGTGGCAAATGGGTACCACCACCCAAATGTGTAAGTACCATCAGCCCAGGCTTTGTCTGTATCTCATCCCTTTAACACTCTGGGATAGCTTGAATGTTTTTGCATCCTTACAATGTGGCTGGCATGATTAAATAGGTTTTCAGTTATAATTATTAAAGTATAACTAATAATTACGATTAATGGGATTTCTTTTTTAAGGGAGCGCCTATTCAGCAAGGTATATGTAAGGAGTTTCTTCGAGCTAAGCAAAATCTGCCATGTGGAACGTCTCTGGAAGAAGTGAAGACTGTGCTGGAAATACGGAAGTTGTATCTGGAGATCCAGAAACTTGAAAAGGAGCTAAACCTCAGAGGAAACAGCTAAATATTGCAATTGGTATCGTAACAGGCACATCTCCGTTGATGCATGTTGAATAATCATAGTGGCTGAAGTCTTTTAGTGACTTTGTAATTCATACTAATACATAAGTAGCCAGAAAAAAAAATAACCAGTCAGTGAAGATGCACATATTTAACAGTGAAGATGCACATAGTAATTCCATCTAGCCCATTGACATTACATTTGTGTAACAGTTTCATTGCTGTGAACAAACATCTAATTGTCCTACTATCTGTCACCTTAAAGGAGGTAAGCTGAAGAAAGTTTGTTTTTTAGCAAGAGTGCCAGCTTTTCTTCCCAAGCAGGACAGGGCTGTTCCTGGGACTCCGGGCAGTTCCACTTGCTTCATTTTTGTGTGTATTCACTTGCAGCAAGAGCAGTTGTTGGAAATGAAACTGTAAAGGGGCTAGATTATTTCTTTGCTGTCCAGTAAAGGGGAAGTGTTCTGTTAACCTGTGTCTTGTGACCAAACATATTTCAATGCACAATCATAATAAAAATGCAATTCTAGTAAGAGCTGTGTCCTGTTTTTAATAACTCGGTCCTATTTGCAGGTAGGAGGGGAGCTGTTTTGACAATCAGTGCCTGTTGAGACATTAACCCTGGCCCGAGCTGCTTGGTCCCCTGTTCCCATTGCTGCACTAGCTGTGGCCACCTCCGCTGCACCCGGCTGGCCAGGAGGAACGGCCTGGCTCCAGGCTGCTTCTCGTTAGCCTGTCCCCAGCTTCCTGCAGCCGTTTCCCTTTTCCCTGGTGGCTTTGGGGGTGCGTCCCCGCCCCTGCCACGCTCGCTCGGAGGAGAGACCGTGAGTGCTGCCGCACCAGGAGCTCCTGGCGCTGTGGAGATGGCCCCTCGGTGGAGCTGGCAGCTCCTGGGAGCGGTGCTGCTGCTGCTGGAGCCAGCTGGGAGTCTTGGTGAGCATCACTCGTGTACCCCTCTTCTTTCCTTCTGCGTTATTGCTTAAATGTTTAATAATTAGGTTAGTTAAGTTCACGGTTTCCCTGTTGTTGCTGTTGCTGACTTCCCCGTCTCTAGCATTGCTGTTTTGTGCAGATAATCCAGCCCGGTGGCTCCTGCTAACTCTGCCTTTCTCTCCCTCAGCTCCCTCCCTAGGTACTTGCAAGGAGCCCCCCAAAATTCCCAATGCTTTCCAGAAGTCCTCCGTGGGGGCCTTGATTCCCGCCGGGACCACCGTTGAGTACGACTGCCTCAGAGGCTACGAGCTCGTCCCAGGAATGGCCTCGGCTCGGGTCCTTTGCCTGGAGAACTTCACGTGGTCTCCAGTCGAGAACTTCTGCCAGAGTAAGTATGTGAGCCCCTGGCTTGACGAACTGTGCTGGAGCTGAGAATGTCATCTATAGAGGACATTGTTGTGGCCCTTGGCACGAGATGGGGATTGTGATAAGATGGAGAGTCATTTAGACAGTTAATAGTTTCTGTCATTTAATTAAGGGGGACCCAGTTAACGATTTTAAGAGATATCAGCAGCAAGGCTGATGTGTAAGCACTGAGACAGCCTATGGAAATGTCAAAGGGGGCTGGCAAGGGAGCTGCCATGCGTCCTGTGAGCTCGCTCCTGTTCATCAGGAGTAGAGATTTGCTCACTTATGGCTGTAGAAAGAGCAGTAAATAGTGATTTCTGCCTGGAAATTGTCACTTTCTTGAAGAAAACAGCCCTTTTCAAAATCCCCTCTTGTGCAAAATATTCCCACCAGCTGTTAGCTGGTGAGGTGAATCTGCTGCCCCCAGCTGTTAGCATTCCGCTTTACACTTTTTTCTTATGATTTTTCTCAGAAGTTCGTTGTCGCAACCCAAACATCACCAATGGAGTGCAGATCCCGAAGCCAAGGCCTGGAGAAGACACGTATGAGTACGGAGACGCGGTTTCCATTGAGTGCAACCCTGGGTACGGCCTCAAAGGAGGGAACCTACGTGCCCTGGCGCGGTGCCGGTACGACGGGAGCTGGGATGCTGCCCTGCACGTGTGTGAACCAGGTAGGTGCTGAGCGGAGCAGCGCTGCGGCCTGGGGACTGCCCACCCTCACTCTGCAGCGTAAGGACACCCCAGGGACACCTGCCCGTAACTTAGTTTTCTCTCTGCTGTTGCAGTTTGTGAGCAGCCCCCGAATATTCCTCATGGGAGACACACCAGCTGGACAGGGAAGAAGTTTTTTATTGGGATGTCAGTGATGTACACGTGTGACAGAGGCTACACGGTTGTTGGGGAGCCTCTTATATTTTGTCAAGCTGGAGATGGGGTACCTGCAAACTGGAGTCACGCTCCCCCTGAGTGTGCAGGTGAGTAGCTCCACATCCCACTGAAGCAACTAGGAGTAGGAAAGGGCAGAAGTAGTGTTGGATTGTCTGTGCAATGGGAACACTGCAGCTTTGAAGTCCTGTTGGTGATGACATCTCAAGCACACTTGTTGACCCCCAATTTCCCTGCCTCTGTTGCTGCATTTGTTAAATGGATTAGTTTTCTCCTGCTCACCTGTCAGAGGTGCAGGGGTCTGTATTCACGAGAAGTTCTCTTGTTTGGTGATTCACAGAGGTTCAGTGTCCAGCCCCATTTGTTGAACACGGAAGCCTGAAGTCTGCACAGAACTTCACTTACAGGAGCACAGTCACGGTCGAATGCGATGCCGGCTACATCCTCGTGGGTGCCACCACCATTCAGTGCCAGGACAGTGGCAGATGGCACCCCAGGCAGCCCACTTGTGTCCTAGGTACCCACGAGTCTCTTCCTTTCCTTGCTCCCGTGTAGAATTGAGCATTTCATTACATTGTCAGTAGTTGCGTGAGAGGGTTGGTCTGGGTTTCAGCCAAGGCCGGGCTTGAGCTTCATCCCCGTGGGTCTGTGGGCAGCCAATTTCCAGCCATTTGTGTCCTTTTCTCTCACCCAGGTCGCTGTCCCTCCCCTCCTGCCGTCGAACACGCAAACCTGAACCCACAGTTGAACTTGCTGGTGGGCAGCACCATAACCTACTTCTGCAAATCCGGATACACTTTGCTGCCTGGAGTGTCTGCAGAAAGTACCTGTCTTAAAAACTTCACCTGGTCCAAACTTCCAAAGCTTTGTCAGAGTGAGTATTCCATTTTCTTTGCTTTGCTAGGAAAGCATTAGTTTAATGATTTGAATAGCACGTTAGATGTTTCCAAAATACACACCAGTGCTGCTTTGCAATAAGGACTTCATTTAGCAGTGTTTGCATTCTCAGTAATAATAATTTTGCTGTCAAAAGCGTAGAATGACTGAAAAGAAATATCTGAAACTTGTGCTAATTTAGCTGTTCAAACAATGATGCAGTGGTGCATCTAGTCATGTATAGTCTCTTCACTCTGATCTCTGGCTGGTCACAGGGTTCAGACCATTTTGCTTCCCAAGGCAAATACTTGTTGTCCCGTAATTACGGCATCTCGCTGTGCCAGGTCTGGCTGGAGATGCCTGACAGCGTTAACAAGCAACGTGACCCGTTCAAGTTACCACCATGGAAAACATTGCTGGTGCGAGTGTCCGCCGTTCTCATGGCATAAACCACTAAAGTTCCTTTTGTGCTGCTGTTCCTCAGGGATTCACTGCCCAAACCCAACTATTAACCACGGGAGGCAGACCAGCCCCACGCAGGCTGCGTACAGCTTTGAGGACACTGCGGAATTCCGGTGTGATCCTGGCTACGTGCTCAAAGGCACCCAGAGGATTCAGTGTTGGTCGGATGGGACGTGGCGGCCCCCGGTTCCCTACTGCGACAGGGGTGAGTGTGAACGGGGGAGCTTTGACGCTCCAAATAGTCAGGTTATTTAGCAGAGTGTGGGCCAAACCTGCCAAGGATCAGCAAAGCCTTAGAGGAGAACCTGCCTGAGTGTAAACATCACCAACTGGTTTCTCCTGTAATCTCTGTAGATATCTCAGTGTGCTCCACTGAATGAGAAGATCTTAACTATTTTTTTCCTGACTTTTCACTTGTAGTTTGTGACCAACCTCCAAAAATCAAGAGTGGGCAGCACTCGGGCTTGAAAATGCAGCACTACCCCTACGGCTCCAAAGTCACGTACAGCTGCGCAGAGGGGCTGTCCCTCGTTGGGGAGTCCTCCCTGTACTGCACGTCCGTGGATGGGGAGAACCTGACGTGGAGCGGAGCTGCCCCGGAGTGCAGAGGTGACTCCTTCCCTCGTACGAGGCCGGAGGCGAGCTCAGGCCTAGGGGCAAGGCTCGGTCTAAGCAGAGCAGGGTGTTAGTGAGCAGGGCTACCTGGAAGCCTTGCTGTCTCCTGCAGTCCTGACAGCTCTAGATGGAAGGATGAGCCATATGGAAACTGGACACTCTGGTTCTTATAGATGGAAAGTGGTTGGGAAGTTACCAAGGTGGGAAGTTATCCCCTAGTCCATGGTCACCACGGTCCCTGGAGCCAGGCTGGCAGCCAAAGTGAACCCCTGTCCTCTCCTCTGCTCTCCCCGCAGTGGTTCGCTGCCCAAAGCCGGTGATCGCCCACGGAGGGATGTCCCGGCCACAGCACACGTTCCCCTACGGGGAGGCCGTGGGGTTTTCCTGCGACGAAGGCTACGAGCTGCACGGCAGCAACAGGAGCGAGTGCGGGGCTGACAGCGCCTGGCACCCGCCCCTGCCCACCTGTGAGCCAGGTGGGTACCAGCATGACTCGATTCCCCCAACTGCTCACGTTTCTCGTGCTGATTTGCCTTCTCTTGTGCTTCCCTTCCAGTTCTGTGCCCGAAACCACAGGTGAAAAATGGAAAGCTGGTCGCTACTTGGGATGGTCAATTGTGGTACAGAACGAATGCAACTCTTACCTTCGAATGCCTTCACGGCCACCACTTCTCAGGGGATGGGGACCTGTCTTTGGCAGACTCTTGGACAGTCACCTGCTTACGTGATGGCACCTGGACACAGCTGCCCAAGTGTGTAAGTATCCTAGTCCGGCTGCACTTCTGTAAGAAACCTGCCTGAATTCTCATAAGAAAAAAAAACCTTAAAAGCTTCTGCTTCATTTCAACCATGGGGAGCCCAGACTGCATTAGGCAGCTGTACAGCAAGCAGGATAAAAGCTCAGCCTTGGTTCTGACAATGTGTGCATCTCTATCCACTCCAGTGCAATTATACATGCCCTTTTCCTGCTTTTGTTGTGTTTTATCTTTTAACAGAAAAAACAAAATGATGCTGCTATATGTGAAGAGGTTGATGATATTAAAACAGCTTTTGAGTGCGGCGTGCCTATAGCAGAACTGAAAATGCTGCTGGAAATACAAAAGCTGTTTCTGGAGATTCAGAAACTAAAGGTAGAACTAGAAAGCTTTCCATGAATGAGCGAGTCCTGTGGCCTAAATCACCTTTCCTGTGGATGCAGTTCGTATAGTCACAGTATCTATCTGTAAGAAGGCTTCATAGTACGTGCGTATGGGGATGTAGCCAGAGGAATATTAACCAGTTTGTGCAAAATTGCTTTTTGTCATGCTAGATACTATAGAGCTAGAGCAGAGGGGATTTCTTTTCTTCCAAATGTCCAGCTTGATTCCCTACTTAATAAACATCGACATTATGTTTTAGGAATCATAGTGAGAAATTAAAATGAGCTGCTTTTTCCACTGAGTGAACTGTGTCAAGGCAGAAGAAACTGGATGGAAGAAGAAACTGTGTGAGCACAAGCTCTGAGCTGGTGCAGGCTGCTGATGTAACTGCTGCTTTATACACGTGCCTCACCCTGCTCTTATCTAGCTGAATTCAGCGCACCGTAACATTGATATGTTTTATCTACCCAGAAATAGGAATGAATTAACCATTTAACAATGTTTTCTACTAATCCATTTAAGGGTAATTACATAAAAGCATTGCATTTTAAAGATTTCTAGAGCCTGTCCTCTTATCCTGGGATGTAGCGGCGGCACCAGGCGTCTGTCCCAGTGCGGTGCTTGGCAGGTGCCTGCGCTGCTCTCCCCCCATTTCGCTCTGTGCAAGCGAAGGCCGAGTAGATGTTGGAAGCTGAAGTGCAGAGGAGGGCAGAGCTCGGGTCGTTCCTGAGGAGCAGGTGCCTCATGGAGCAGTCACCTTCCAGGCTGGTGACAATAAAGAGCAAGCTGCAATTGTGAGTGTCTCGTGGTTCTGTCACGCTGCAAAGGAGGAGGATTTGCAACCTCCTCGCAGCCCCGGGTGGTGCAGCCTTCAGCGAGCAGATGTGCTCTGCTCCCTCACACCCAGCCCCAACCGTGAGTCACACAGTGAGGGGAAGAAACACCCCAAGGGTGGCCCCGTGTTGGTTTTCTTTAGGTCCTGCTGCATTCCAGCTGCGCCGCGTGCCCCGGGCCAGCCTGGCTGCAGCCGGCGCCGCTGCTGGCTCCTGTTTTCGTAAATCCCTGCTCCGCGGCGCTCGCTGCTGCTCTCGGGCCCAAAAAAGGGGTTGAGTCAGCGGCTGGGCCGCGTCCCCTGCACGTGGGGGACCAGGGACCCGGGCCAAGGCTGCGGCAGCTCCCCCTCGCCCCGGCGCTGCCGCCTGTCCCTGCAGGAGCTCATTGATTCCGTGTGTGTTCAGGGAGGTTCCCGCTGGCTCCGGAGCTCTGCCGAGTCCGTCCAGCCCGGTGACTCCTCCAGCCTCACGGATGCTCCCAGATCCAGCAAGGAACAGGCTGCGATGAAGCCACAGGAACAGGGATGCCCAGGCCGGGTGATGCCGGGGTCCCGCCGCCCCGCGCTGCTCCTGGGGCTGCTGGGGCTCCTGCAGCTTCCC